TCTCTCTCTCTCTCTCTCTCTCTCTCCCTCGTGTGGCCCGCCGCTTGCTGGAACAACACGTTCCCACGCGCCAACCTCCACTTCTTTCACAGCGAAACAGCAGACCAACACCAACACAAACACACGCTCTCACACATACGTTGCACTTCTTTGGGTGGCCACTCGGGCGCGTGGGATTTCGGTCCTTACTCCAGTTCACCTTTCCACATCAGTCACATGATGAGCCAAGAAGACACAGCCAACAGGAGTGAAACGGAGATGATGTCGCAGAAGCATTGCTTTTCGAGGGCGTGTAGAAGCGAAGGGCAGGCCCAAAAATATCGCTGGCCGTGGCTTTCCAACTTGAGCGGCGCGTCTAGCAGCTGAAAAAAAAAGGTCCTCGGGAGCCCAAAGCGCAGGGTTCACTTCAGGGGTCCGGCGCGATCCAGCCGAGCCGAGCGCGGCAGGACACCAGTCGCTCGGACTCAGCTGCACGCCGAGAAGGATTCGGCAGCGGCAGAGTCAAGCATAAACAGGCCGCTTGCTCCACCAACACCTGCTGCAGACCGGTGCCGAGCATGGCTCAACTCAGCCTTCCCACTTTGTGATCCACCACCACACATTCCTTTCTGCCCAGTGTGCTCGACGCGGCTTGCCATCGTCGGCAACACCGACCGATCACGACTGCGGCCTCACACCGCAGACCCAACAGCCCCATCGGTGCTCCCGACGACAGAGGATTGCGTTCCCACCTCGTCCGGAGCTGCCCCGAAGCGCTCAGAGACCGCTCGCTCGTATCCTCGGATCAGTGCCTCGCCCAGCCCAGCCCAGCCCAGCGCCAAGCTATGCGCTTCGCCTCGCGACCTGCAATGCCTTTCGCTTGACCCGCTCGCTCTAGCCTCAACCACCACATCAGACTACAATGATCACTCAACCACCTCGCGCTGGTCCATCGGCTTCCAGCCCCACCAGCCCCGCCAGCAGAAACGCAGCATCACCCCAGCAAAGGTCGCCCATCACTCCGGGTCGCTATCGCGCACATGCTTCAGTCCACCAAGCCTTTCCATCGCCTTCCTCTCCGCGCTCGCGCCGCTCATCCATCGTCGAGACCGTCGATGGCGCTTCGTCATCCAACAGCCCGTCCTCCAATTGGCAGGCGAGCATCGAACTCTCCTTAACTACACGTCGTCGCCTCATCCGCAAACCGCTCCCGCAGATCCCCTCATCTCACAATGCCGACTCGATTCATCCATCCGATACAGCCTCCGGTCTCATTTCTCCGGCGACCCTCGATGCACAGTGCCAAAGGGCAGATTCTTGGTGGCCCGACTCCCTGCCACAAAAGCACTCGGCCCCGCTCTCTTCCACATCACAGGCTGCCAACACCAGTGCAAACCCCCACACACCCGCTCTCGATCCACAGCAACCTGACAATCCAGGTCTCGATGATCAAAGCCTCCAACATCTCCTGAGCATCCTGCATTACGCTGCGCTTCAATCCGAGGGCGCCTCAGCATCCACCCAGGAAGATGGCACCATCGGCAGGAACAACGTGGTGGTGTCCGCTACAGGCACCTACAAGAGGCAGTCTCCTCTCAACGGCACATCGGCTTCCGCATCCAAGGGGGCTGATTATCACGATCAGTACGTGCTCGATCAAGCCACCTTGGACAGCCTCTACCGCGCTCTCCAGGCCGCCTTCCGCCATCTCTCGCAGAAACAAGTGCTTGGAGCGCTTCAGCGCACCGCTTCCATTCGTTGGCGTGCAGAAGCACAGCTGCGCAACGCCACCGCAGCCCAAGCGGCAGAGACCACCGCCTCCTCTTCGCGCTGGACTCGATTCGCCTGGCCCGCAGCCGCTCTCGGAAAGGCGTACAAGGAAGCACAGAGGAGCATCCTGCCTCCTCTTCCCGGTCAGTCGGCTTTCGTCGGCTTCGAATCTGCGTCCCAGATTCACATGGCGCAGGACGCCTACACGGGTCTGTACTTGGACCCGGATCACCGCGTACGCAAGAGAGACGTCGCCGTTAGGATCCTCAGCAATGCCATTTGGTTCGTCCGCAACTATGGACCCGCAGCCGGCGTCGAAACGCTTGACGCCTCCGCTCCGGCAACGACCGCGCTCGACCAAGCGTCGTCGCCATCTGACCCGGCATCCCAGGGTGCCGCTGGCGAGCTCATGCCGCCATCCCTCTCCTCCATCCGACGCACCTCGGAAAACTTGCTCAAGAAGAATGCTGGCCTCCCGACCTTCCTCTCCAAGTCCTCAGCCACCACCGCTCTCAGCGGTACGGCGACTCCGGAAAGCGCCAGATCCGATGCAGCCGCCAATCCCGAGGCAACCGCGACCTCTCCGTCTACGGCAGCTACACCCGAGTCGCTCAGCATCGCCTCTAGCGTCTCCAGTCCGCAAGTACCCGTCGTCCCGCCTTCAGAGTCTGCCCCTGACACGGCCTCGACAGCTTTGCCTCCGCCCGAGACGGGTGCCACCTCCACCCCGGACCCCTCCACAAAGAACAACAACGCCGGCGGCGAAAAGAGCAAAGCCGTCGAGCATCTAGCCTCACTTAGCGCCGCAGTCGGAGCAGCCATGCGCCAGCGCGCACAACAAGCCACAGCCGCCGCGGTTGCTCACGGTGGCGCGCCGGAGGATTGGATTGATGCGCCCCCCACAACGACTGGCGCTAGGCGTCCCAGCCTGCACACCTTCGTCTCGCGTTCCGAGGCCGAAGCAGCCGAGACCGATGCTCTCGAAAAGGCCGAGAAGGACTACCTGGCCGAAATCGGACAGGGCTGCAACGAATGGGCAAAGATGGTCGTCTGCCGACTATGTGCGTCCATCTCCGTCAAAGGAGACGATGCATCAGGAACCATCCGCCACCGCCGTTCCGGCACCGTCACCGCGCGTGATGCGGCCAAAGCTCGCACAGAGGGCGCCGACACCAGCGTCGGCTCTTCTCTCTCAACAAGGTCCGACATGACTGCCAAGGCCGCCAAGGTCTCCTCACGATCCAGCGACGATCTGAGTCCCGCCGATGATACCCACGAGGCTGTAGCCTGGAAGCCCGACGTGTACGAGGGAGCTGAACTGCTCTCGCATCTTGGCGAGCACAGGCCCGGCGTCTCTCTGCAAGACGAAGACCAGCGTGTGCGACTCGTCGGAGGAAGTTTTGTCTGTCGAGTCGAGTCGGAAGAGCAAAGGCAAGCTCTGTTCGAGCTACTCGAACTCGGCCTCTACGTCGGCATGTCGATGCTGCTCGAATCGAGCTTCCTCACGGACTCGGACGCAGCTCGTCCCAAACCGGTCAAGATCCCAACGCGCACCACCTCGGCCGTCGAGCCGCCTTCGAGGGGTGCCAGCCTGGCTCCTCCCTTTGTGCGCACTCGTTCGTCCTCTCAAGCCACGATCGACGGCAGCCAGCGATCGGTTTCTGGTAGCAGCAGCACGCGCGAGCCGCATCAATCAGATCTGAATGCAGATGCGGACGGCCAATCGCATGGTGTCGACTTGGCGCCTTCAAAGCCAGCGCCTCGCAAGTGGACAAAGAGCTTGTGGGGCATGCTGGGACAGCACCCGCATGACGCAGCAGACGCTGAAGGCGAGGCATCCATTGCAAGGTCCGGCATGGGCGACGGCCACGAGGCACATTCGCATCGCTCGGCACTCACCATGCATCGCTATCACACCGAGGACGACGCGAATACCCTTTCGTCTACTAGGAAGGCGCTCTTCAAGACCGGTGAAGAGCCAAAGCAGTCCATCGCAGCGAGGAAAGCCGCACTCTTTGCGAGCGTTTCCAACAATTCGGCGCCTCCGACCCCTCAAGGTCTTCGCGGATCTGCTTCCAATGCAAATGGATCTGCGAACAAGCCCCATCGATTGGTGGGTCGTCTCATCAATGCATTTGCTCGTCCAAATGCAGATGCTCCACAAAAGGACGCACAGCACCCCACCTCCGCTGCCAGCTCCCTCGCCCGCAGCCGCGACACCGACATCCATCCTCCTACCTCGGCACAATCGGTCGTTGCAACACATCTGAGCTCCTCCAGGTCCCAAGCACAGCTCATCCGGACGAGACCAGAGACCATCTTTCCCGTCACCTCGCCGAGTCCTGCAGCCCTCTCGACCTCGCCGGAGCTGTCCTTGCTCCAGTGCTACCAGTATCAGCAGGGTCCGCAACATCGCCTGTTCCCAAGCACGGCCTATCTGACAGCATTTTATCGCTTACAAGCACTACGCTTCCTTGCTGACCAGCCAGGTGAGCACGTCACATTTGCTTCGCCTTCGCACGGCATTTCTGCCTCTGGCGATTTGCTGCCGTTCGTCGGCGTGCAAAAGCAGGCGTCCTCGGCTTGGAGCGTCATATCGTCGCGATCCCAGCAGCCGCAGCCAACTCAGCTTGCTGCCACTCCGATTCAGTTGCTGTCGTACGAGCTGCTGTCGGGCGACGGGTCGGCCGTCGGTCTTTGTCGCGAAGAGGTCGCCTTCTACCAGCGTTTGAGCAACAATCGCGATGTCCCTCTGGGACAGGTGGTCGAGGAACTCAGCATCCGCGCCTGTGCCTTAGAGGCGGATCGCGACACGATGCTCAAGGTACACGATTCTCGCATCGCAAGCAGCAAGCAGAATGCGAGCAGCGCCAAGGATCGCACCGGCCAGCCCGTCGCACAGCGTCAGGGCATCAACAGCGTTTACGGCATGCCCGAGCAGCGCCTCCACTTCGTTCATGGCCAGTGCCGCATCAGGATCGTTGCGACCGTGATGCCGCCGAGCGTGTGCGGAGACGAATCAGAGGCACCACACGACACTGTGTTCGAAGACAAGGTCAAGCCAAAAGAGAAGGGTCCAGAAGTGGACGTCGCATCCCGCTCACCGTCGTTGCAGGCAAGTGCGAGTCGGGACTCGGACGTGTCCGCTATCGCCGCTGCATCACACACAGACAAAGAAGCCGCAAAGACCGCCTTTGCGGTGGCCGAGACTGCAGTCCGAGCGGCAGAGACTGGAGCGTCACAGCTGTTGATCGATCAGAAGGGCAGTGGGAGCACAAGTGGCATCTGGATGTGGAATGCCAGCGCCAAGAGTGGCTGGCAGGGCCAAGCCGTGCCCATGTCCGAGTCCACCTACCTGCTCTCCTTTGCACGCTACTTGGAGGCCGTCTCATACCATCCTGCGCTGCGCCGAGCAGCCGGGCTGGAGCCTGTCAACACCAAGGCATATGGCGGTCTATCCAACGTCCAACAACAGCTTCGCCAAGGCCGAAGCGAGGATGCTCGAAGCATCGCAGAGGGTCCCAACCTTTTGCGCTTCTTCCGCAGCGGACGATCTCTCGTCAAGGTGCAAGTGCAGCCGCTTGTCGTCTACGACCTCCACATCGAAGGTCCCTGCCTCAAGACAAGCTCGGACCGTCGGCGCGAGCGAAAGCAGAAGCAGGCGCAGGCGGAGAAGCGGAGGTTCAAGCAACTTGCAGAAGAGACCCGACTCGAGATCCAGCGCTTCTTTGCGTCCATCAAGCGCAACACGACCAGACTCGAGGATGTCTTTGTTTCTCGGGAGCTCGATGAAGCAGGTCGTACCATCCGCAGCAAGACAGGCGCGCCCATTCCAAGCGCGGATGCCAAGCCGGCACCAGCAGTTGGCGCGGCAGCGTCATCATCCGACTCGACAATCTCGGACCAGCTGGCCCAACCGCTCACTTTCCTGACGAACCTGCGCGCGTCTCTGCGGGCAGACGAATTCGAGCTCTACGAAGCCCTGCAGAGGACATTGTTCCTCGATGGCATCAACGATATCCGAAAGGCGTTTGCCGACCGTGCCAAGTCGGCCAAGAATCGCTTGGCTGCCTGGACCAAGAAGCACCTGAGCAAGAAGGAGCAGGCCGACTTCGGCAGCTGCGTCTACGACGAGCCAGAGTACATCAAGGCCGGCCTTCGCGCCTTCCCAGGCAGCTGCTACATCATTCGTGATGACGAGCCTCTTTCTATCATCGCGTTCTCACTCAGCTCCCGCGACTTCCGGGCCGAGATGGGCACGCTCGGCGATCGCAAGCACGATGCAGATGGCTACATGGGCAGCTCCAACGACGAGCATGTCAAACAATGGCGAAGCGGTGTCGTCGATGGCGGCCAGTCTGCGGCCGGAGCGGGAGGATCGATCATCTCGACCGCCGGCAGCACCGATACCAGCACTACCGCCTCCTCAGCCATGTCGCTGCTCAAAGACAGGTCCATGCGCAAGGTGCCGCTGTCGCAGCTTGATCCGGACACGGACGAGGTCTTTTTCGACGCCGAGCCTGTCCGCGCCGCGCTGAAGCGAAAGAAGCGTGCACGGGAGTCGTCGATTCTCTCGATGACGCTTCGCCGGGTCGGTTCAACCATCTCGGACTCTCGAGGAGCGAGCTACCAGACTCTGACCGCCAACAGCCTGCCGGCCTCTTCCGCCAGCTCCTTGAAAGGTCGAAACGATGACGACGACGACGACGACGAGGATGATGATGACGAGGACGATGGTGAAGGTCGCGGGAAGAATCTGAAGATCACTGGCGACGGCAGATCTCGGCTCAGTTCTGTCGCGAGTGGCAGCAGGCTAGAGGTCGGCTCGCCAGCTCGCGATCTGGATGCTACCCCCTCCCGGCGCACTTCTGCCGCACGATTCGACAACCGCTCGCCATCGCCATCGCCAAACCGGCCGGAGCTGCGCAACTCTGGAAGCGTGTCGGCATTGCGCAGGACGTTCGAGCTGCGATCACAGGCATCCTTCTCATCGATTCCCGACAGAAAGTCTTCCATTCAGGCAGGTACGGCCAGCACGATCAGCACTACAAGCAAGGAGACTACCTTCCAGGCGCAAGTGACGCCCATCTCTGGTCGTCCTGCGTCGCTGGCCACCATCTTTTCATCGGGCCAGCCCGGACTGGAGACGCCCAACTCTCGCACCAGCAATTTCACTGGGGCATCTGCTCCACGAGCTATTCCGCGAACTGCGCCTGCGAGCCGAAGACCGTCGGGAGCGGCGGGAGCGGCGGACCCGAGTGCAGCCGAGATTGGGTTGTCTGTCGATGATCTGCCATCGCTCAGTGACGATGGCAGTAGCAGTAGCAGCCGCAGTCCTCGCAAGCACGGTGCGCAGCCTTCGAACAAGAGCGAGGGGGTGGCAGGGGCAGATGCTCATTCGATGGTGTCGAACAGCACGCTGCCAGGCTCGCAGGCGGCCGAGTCGCCGCACATCAAGCACAACCTGGTGCACGGGACCACCAAGATCTCGTGCGTTTCGTGGTTTGCCGAAGAGTTTGCAGCACTGCGCGAGCGATGGGGGGTGGAGCACGAATTCGCGCACAGCCTAGCTCGATGCTCGCCGTGGGCCGCCACGGGAGGCAAGTCGAAGTCGGCCTTCTTCAAGACGGCCGACGAGCGCTTCATCGCCAAGCAGCTGCTGACGGTGTGGAGCGTGGACGAGAAGGAGGCGTTCCTGGAATTCGCACCGGCCTACATCCGCTACATGATGAACTCGGCGGTGAACGCGTGCCCGACGTTGCTCGTCAAGATCGCTGGCGTATACAGCATCAAGATCAAGGACACCAAGTCGGGCGAGACCAAGCTCAAGATGAACGTCATGCTGCTCGAGAACTTGTGGGCGGGCGACGGGGGCAAATCGATCCGATTCGACCTCAAGGGCATCCGGGACCGCAAGGTGAAGCTGAGCGCGCAGCAGCAGCAGGATCTGGAGCAAGCCGCCACGCAGGCCGCAGCCGAGGGGCAGCCGCTCGTCAATGTGCCCGGCGTCACGCAGGGAGCTGCAACGGCGGCGTGGAGCGCTGGCGTGCAGGCAGCGGCGAGCAGCACGGTCAAGGCGAACTCGGGAGACAGTCAGAAGGCGGGTACCAGCGAGCCGGCGGGCAGCAAAGGCGCGACCAGCCCTGGCTCAGCCGATGAATCCTCCAAGTCGGCTGTCAACGGCGCGGCGGCAGCGGCTGAGAGCGAGGCCAGGCCGGCGTCAGGCTCGAGCGCGGTGTGGTGGGACAGCGAGTGGATCTCGAGGTACCGGCACCGGGCGTTTGTGCCCGAGACGCAGAAGGAGCTCTTCTACCGCGCGCTGCAGAACGACACGCGCTTCCTGACGGCTTCCAACGTCATGGATTACTCGTTGCTGCTTGGCGTGATGGAGCGGCCGATTCGGGCCGACGACATGTACCCTGCACCGGCTCGAGCTGCGGGCGGCGTTGCGAATGTGCACGAAGCAGAGGGAGATGCGGACGAGGTGGAGGATGCTGCGGAGCGGCCGTCGTTCCGGTGCCGCATCGTCGACTTTCTGGGCGCGTTCACGCTGGCCAAGCAGCTCGAGTCGAGCTCCAAGAAGGCGCTCAAGGCGCAGGATGCCAAGGCCAACGTGACGATCCTGCCGCCGTCCGAGTATGCGAGCCGGTTCCTGTCGGCGATGGACTCGTACTTTATCGGCACGCCGAGCCATCCGCGGCTGGATGCGCGGTACGGGTTCGACCGCATGTGCGACGACACGGCTCGTGCGGCGGGAAGCGAGGGCAGTGGCGCAAGTGCGGTGCGACAGCCTAGGCTGGCGTCGGTGTTGTAGGTGCAGAGAGCAATGCAATCGAGGCCGTATGATCGATGGCGTCTGCGTGCCTGTCTTGCTGAGCGGGAAGGGATGAGAAGCGATGCGAATTTGCAAGAGAGGCAGGAGAGCGAGGCTACAAGTACAAGGGCGACGGCGGATTCGGATGTGATTACACAAAAGGCGTTGTTGGAGAAAGTCGCTTGTCGGGGGGGGGGGGGGGATTGGGAAG